TTTATAAAATATAAGAAGTTGAAGTAAAAAGTAGGATGAGAAATAATTACTCAAGTAAAGTACCGATAGCCAAAAATTCTCTTTAAGTACAGTAACAAAGTATTTGTACTTAGTTACTTTACATCTCTGGGATTCTGGGATTCGTTTTCTGCAGTTTAGATCAGAAGTGTTGTTTTAACTCAGGGTTAATGAGCATCAAGGCCGTAATTAACTTTGTTTCCTGTTTAAATTCAACTAAACAYGAAGCGTTCCTGAGCCTCGCTGACAAACTAATTGAGCTCTACCTGGTGTTTCCTGCACAGAAACAGTGTTTTAWCACCTCCTTTTATAAACACTGAAGCRTACAACTGAATAAATGKGAAATAAATAACAGAAATACAATTAAAGTAAAAGTACGAGTTGAGTTGAGTTGTGTTAAGTAGCTCCYGTCTTGAATTCTGAACTCTCCCACTTTCCCACAGGGAATTCCCACTGAAGGGGTGTTCCAGTTTAAATTCACGACTTGTAAGTAGGAAATTCCCACTTACTAGTACAAGTGCAGCAAAAGTAGCTGGTGAAAATGCTTCAAAATAGAGATTTTACACAACAAATTTCATCTTGAACCCTGTGCAGCTCCACCTGCTGGTGGGATGTAAAATAATCACCGTGCATTATGGGAGACGTAGTTTAGTGGTGGCTTTAAAACAGCTTATTTTAAAACATTAATATGTCTTTGAAGCTTTCACGGGCCACATAACATGCTGTGRCGGGCCACATTCGGCCCGCGGTACTGGGGTTTGACACACGTAGTTTAGATAAATTCAGAGAGGGAGCTGCTTCGGTCTGTCCTAGTGAAGAAAGTCAAGTGGAAAGGCAGAGCTCTCTGTTTTGTGTCTGCAGATCAGGATCAGAAGAACCAGATACTGGATCCTTCGTAAGGTGGGTCAGACTCAGAGAGGATGAGGAGCTTCATCTGATCTGGACCTTCTGGAGGKTTTCCAGGCACTGAACTGAGACCTCGGGGCAGACCCAGAACTCTCTGGTCTGAGAGCACCGTGGGGTGCCACGGGAGGAGCTGGACAGGGAGGTCTTCTCTCCTGGAAACTCAGATAATCTGTAAAAGTAGAACTTAGAAATGATTATTTTTACATTCTGTTGTGAATAAAATCTGTTTTCTGATGTTTTCCGATCATTTCATTCAGTTTTTATTGGTTTTTATCTCCTGAGCTGCAGTTGGTGTGGATTAGATGTGGCGGCCATCTTGAATTCATCCAGCGTTTGATCAAACCTGTCCAYCCCAGGTTCACGAGATGTTTCCCTAACCCAGCAGATGGTCAGAAAGCTGTGAGAAAAGTTCTGAAAGGTTCTGGACTCTGAAGCAGCTCTGCGGTTTGTCCACAAGATGGAGTTCTGGTTCCTCAAACCCAAACCAGTCAGGAAACGTGAGTCGTCTGAACCTGCTTCAAAACCTTTAAGTACTTCTTAGTTTTGCTCAGAAAGTCGTGGAGCCGTGGAGTTTTCAGSTGCAGGATCTGGAAACACCAGGAGAGTTCTGTGCTGTTGTGTCGCTCTGGGTCTGCAGGTCTTCGTTGCTCCACCTCGTTCAGAATGAGTTCCTGTTCCTTTAAGGGATCTCTCCAGTCGTCACGCTGATCCATATTCAGAGTCCAGTGGTGAAGAGTTGGGATAGTGGTTCAATTCTCTGGGTGCTGAGCAGATGCCAGGTAAGACCATCATCATGATCATGACTTTAACTAAAACCAGAGGAAGCTGTGACTCAGTTTATTTCTCAGGTTTATTCAGCTCAGAATCAGATGTTTTTATAGATGTTTGGATGTGAAGCCCTCTGATAACCTGATCAAACACCTGAAATAAACCGGTTCAGGCGGCGGCAGGACTCCGCCTGGCTGCTGGAGTGGAAAGCTTGGTTACATTCTGTACAGAGGCGGCAGGAAGCACGAGCGCAGAGAACATCACCTCTTTCTCATCAGGCTAAAAGCAGACAGGGTCGAGCAATCAACCATGGGCTTTCACCCACTTTTATTTTTATAAAACTTCTCCCCACAGCCCGGCCCAACAGGAACAGAGACACGAGCGTTGCTGCTATTTCTTCTCTCGCGCTGCAAAAACATAGAAGAGGTTCTTTTATTAGAGCGGAGACGTGTTAATTTAGTCCAAACGGGTCAAACGGCGTGTGATGTGCTGAAGTTTTACAGCAGGTTTAACAGTAAAGTGTCTCCTTCCACAGAACTCGTCATGAACGCAGACAGGCATCCTGACGTCCCCGATGGAGAGAGGATGGGTGAGTTTCTCATCTTTTTTCAGATCGAGCCGGGCTCGTTACCCCACAGGAACCTGTTGGAGGCGTGGAGCTCGCTTCAGGAGTTTCTGAAGGTGTTCTGAACGTTTACACTTTCCTCTCTTTGTTCCAGAAACCTGCCAGGAAGATGCAGAGGTGAAAACATCGCAGGAGGAAGAGGAGAGGGAGGAGGGCTCCGCCGCTGTGAATGGACAGCAGTGCAACGCCGTCACGGAGACACGTATGTACACACACACACACCGTGTCTTCACACACTTTCCATTAGGTGTTAGGAAACAAACTCTGCAGGCTGAGGTTCAGTTTTTATTTAAAGACGAGGATAAATTTGTTCCAACAATAATCAGAAACTGAAGTGACGACGGAGCTGTGAAGATCCTGTCTCCTCTGTCAGAAACTGCGTCTCAACATCATGTCTGTGAAGTCCTGAAGGACGGTGCAATCACAAGCAGCTTTACTTTCAACCCTCTGATCAGTCTGGAGGCGCATTTCCTCTTGCATCCAGGCCTCGAGGGGTTGTCTTCCGTCCCACGAACACTCTACTTTTCAATAATCTTGGTCTGAGGAACAYGAAGTCTTCAGCTTTAAGGTGGATCTGCAGGATGTTCTGTCAGAGCTGCTCAGACAGATGTTTGGTTTCTCTGCTCCACGTTTCAAACCAGAACAGCTGAAATGATTAAAAAGCTGCTGTGATGCTAACAAAGGTCAAACACTTGGTTTGAAACATGTCTATAAAGCTAATAATAACAACTCTATTTTAAAGCTGTCACACTATAACATTCAGACAACTCTAAATGACTAATAAAAGTTATATATTTGATCAGTTTGTTAGCGTTACAGTATGTGGAGTTGATTTTTTTAAAATTCAACATACACCTTTAAAATGTTCATAAGTTGTGTAGACATTATAGTGTGACYTTCATCAGCTTCAGACTTTTATCAAAAACTCAAGGAAAGTTTAAGAACCAATTAATTAATTTACAGTTAATGGGAAGTTCAGCAGCAAGAAACAGATATGCTTTTAGAAATCAACAAATATGTATCAAATAATTAAATATCAACTAATCAAAAACCTAAAATTTTGTTGTAACTTTTACAACCTATGATTTAAATTTCTTTAAACTACATCCTGAGTTCAAAACTACATTTTAAAGTCTTTTAGGGATCAATAAAATAAATAACTTTAACCATATGGTGCAAAGAGATTTAGACAAGACAAGAAACTTCCAAGAAGCTCATCTTTTTTGTCTCCTGGATGACATTTATATAAAAGAATATCTACAATGAAACCCAACCTGTGGTCATCAATAACAACTCAGCAACGTCTGCAAGAAAAAACATTTTCTTTGTGTTTAACGAGTTTAAAGAAACATTTTCTTTGTGTTTAACGAGTTTAAAGAAACATTTTCTTTGTGTTTAACAAGTTTTAAAGAAACATTTTCTTTGTGTTTAATGAGTTTAAAGAAACATTTTCTTTGTGTTTAACAAGTTTAAAGAAACGTTTTCTTTGTGTTTAACGAGTTTAAAGAAACATTTTCTTTGTGTTTAACGAGATTAAAGAAACATTTTCTTTGTGTTTAATGAGTTTAAAGAAACGTTTTCTTTGTGTTTAACGAGTTTAAAGAAACATTTTCTTTGTGTTTAACGAGTTTAAAGAAACGTTTTCTTTGTGTTTAACGAGATTAAAGAAACATTTTCTTTGTGTTTAACGAGATTAAAGAAACATTTTCTTTGTGTTTATCGAGTTTAAAGAAACGTTTTCTTTGTGTTTATCGAGTTTAAAGAAATGTTTTCTTTGTGTTTAACGAGTTTAAAGAAACGTTTTCTTTGTGTTTATCGAGTTTAAAGAAATGTTTTCTTTGTGTTTAACGAGTTTAAAGAAACGTTTTCTTTGTGTTTAATGAGTTTAAAGAAACGTTTTCTTTGTGTTTATCGAGTTTAAAGGAACGAGATTATTAAATATTAATCTAAACTCATGAATAACTGCAGAGGTGTTGATAATTTGGATGCTTCCTAATGAAGCCATGTTAAAAGTGGTGCGAACGCTCTTCAGGCGGCGCCCCTCTTCCTTTCTGCTCAGCGGCCATGTTTCCCGCCGGCTGCAGCTCCTGGAGCTGCGTCAGCTGCACGGCCTGCGGTTCCTCTTTGAGACCCTGGACTCTATATCAGGCGTTTCGGATCTGTGCGTGTGCAAAGTTTCCACAGCACCTCTGAGTGCTTTCCACGATACGAGGCGCCGCTCTTCAGCTCATCATCAGCCACCGCTGAGACCACAGTGTGGTTTCTGGATGGAACTGAGCTCCGAGGGGGGAGGGGGGGTTAACGCTTAACACCGGGCTGGGTGAGAAGTCCTGCATGCCAGGCTTCAGTCTGCAGGTTGATGCAGCTGACTCAGTGTTGTCCAGAGAGCAACACCACGCTGCTGTGCAAAAGTCTTGAACAGCCTTGCAGAACTTTGTTTCCCCKCCAAGCTGCCGGACCTGATCAGACCTGATTGGACGGTTCTCCAGACTCTTTCAAAGTTTCTATTTTTGACATCAGCTGCTTTTTTTTTTACTCCCCACGCATTCAGTGTCAGTCTTTTTTTTATTATGTTCTGTGACTCATTCAGTCATAAAAAGCTTCGTGTCGACTCACCAAGACGAGCTTTAACATCACTCCCATCAGCCTGCCTCAAAGCTTCTGATCGGCAGCACCTGTGGGGACCAGAAGCTCAGTAACAACAGCAGAATCTACTGCTCATCCCACAAAGGCATGTTCCTTACAAAYGTGGCGTCATCTAAAAGAAACATGAGCAGGCTTTCCAACGATAGAAGATTATTACCAAGAGGCTCTGTTACAACAACAAAAAAAATCTAACAAACACAAGTTTACTGCCTTTTTGTGCTGAGTTTATTTAGAGTTCGACACATTTGACTGGTTCTGATCGCAGTTCTCCAGGATTTATTGGGTTTTTAGGTCGAGGAGTTTTACTGTTGTTTCAGCTAAATGTTCCCCCAAGACAAASACAAAATAAAAATACAAATAAAAAGTGCAAACATCAGAATGTAGGCTGAACACATGGCAGCTTAGATGGAGTAATATGCAGTATTTGTACAGTCCTGAGTACTTGTCTGTAGTCGTAGTACACGATGAGTGTACAGGGAGGGTTGTGGGTAGAACCTGTTGCAGACTCGGGTGATGTGTCATTGTTTGTCTGCCGGGGGTCTTTTGCTGCTTGTTACTCATTTTCCATCCTTGTACCTGAATATTTCTGGTTAATTTTRACCAAAATCACAAAATGTTTGTGTCCAAAGACACACAAATCAGGTTCAAGTGCACTTTCTCTTGTTCATCCGAAACGCCAGGGTGTTAATGAGCTGAAAGTGCACGAGTGTGCACGTGGCGTGCAAACCTGCGTACCGGTTAGGTCAGGGTCCAGTTCTGGTACCTGAGGATATCTGAACTGTAGAGCTGCAGGCACAGAGGTGACATGAAAGGGGGGGAACAGAGGGGGCGATGACCACCCTGAAGCCCCCCTAGAGTTTTTACATTTTCTCTGCRTGGAGGAAAAGTTCTGCGCGGCGCAGCGCAGCTGGAAACGCTGCTGCCCTGCCTCCTCTAAAGAGYAGAACCGGGTGAATGAAAGTCAGAAGACCTGCACACTCAGGTCAGTTTTCCACAATCAGAATAAGATGATCGGATTAAGTGTTTACATGAACCTCATTCAGATTATCAATCGGCATAACCCACCCCTCTCATTCGGATTAAAAATTCATTCGGATCGAGCTCAATTGGATCAGAATAATCCGAACGGGTTGTTTACATGACGCATTTTTATTCTGAACGACCGTTTAATCCAATTACTTACATCCGTGTAAACGTAGCTAGTGTTTCTGAGCGATTAGGAGTTAAAAATATCCTTTTTATTTATTTAGTAATTAAAACCTGTAGTCTAGGGCTGCGCAGTATATCGCAAATTTATGGTTATCATGATAACAGCCTTTGCAATATGCATCCATCCATCCATCCATCCATTTTCTGTACACGCTTCTTCCTTTTCAGGGTCACGTGGGTCACTGGTGCCCATTTCCAGCAGTCACAGTGCGAGGGGCGGGGTACACCCTGGACAGGTCGCAAGTCCATCACAGGGCCACACATAGAGACAAACGAGACAAACAACCATTCACTCTCTCACTCACACCTAGGGACAATTTAGAGTTATCAATTAACCTAACAGTCATGTTTTTGGTCTGTGAGAGGAAGCTGGAGTACCCGGAGAGAACCCACGCATGCACGGAGAGAACATGCAAACTCTACCCAGAAAGGTCCCCAGGCTGGGATTTGAACCGGTGACCTTCTTGCTGAGAGGCATCAGCTCTACCAACTGAGCCACCGTGCCGCCTTGCAATATGCATATCACAAAAAATGCATAAACTGCAATAAGCGATTGGCTCTAATGTTTGCATTTATGTGCATCAGTCTAGATGGAGAAATGGACTAGAGAAACATCAAATCATAATCACTCCATCATGTTGTAATGGAAATTATGTTTTAGTTGTGTTTTGCTCTGAACACAGAGCAGAAAACCATCAACACTGTATTATTTTTTGATTATCACAARTTATATCATCATCGCAATATTAAGCACAGTTATTACATCACAGGTTTTCTTGATATCCTGCAGCTCTACTGTAGTCCTCCTAAAAACCAGTTTAAAGCCCARCATTAGACTCAAAGTGGGCCTGATCAGCTGATAAAGATTTCTTGTTTGTTTTTCTTTAGGTTTTTGCAGCTTTTTAATCAGTTTTTTGTCCAGTTTTTGTAAATAAATTTGTCTTATTTAAAAAGACCTTTCTAACAGCTGATCCGCAGCAGAAAGTCGAGTCTTCAGACAATAACTGGTCAAATCTTTTTCTCTCTTTGTTTGTTAAAGATCTTATCTTCTTTTTATTGGTCGAGTCAGAGAAAGAAATGAGAGCAAACTGTTTTTGTGACACTGAATCTGTGTTTGGGGTTCTCTGTGTTGTGCGTCGACACAAAACTGATTCAGAGATTTAGGTCAGAGATAACAACCAAACCAAAAAATAAAAAAAGAGACTGAAAATATTCTGGTGCATGGTTGGAAATGAGAATAAAAACGAAAAAGAAGAAGAACTGCAGMAAGTGAGGAGCTGTTGTCCAGACCCACAGGTGTGTTTGAGTTGTTTTCTGTGAGACTTGGTGGTGTGAGAGAATGAGACGAGTCAGAACCTGGACGGGTTCTGTCTGTGGGAGCGCAGCGTCAGAGGTGGCAGACGCTCTGAAATGACTCCTGTAACGCAGAAGAAGTGATGTTTTGTGTCGGAGGCCCCTGCTGCTTCTCTTCTCCTGTCCTGCTTCTACTTTCTGTGCTCAGAGGAAACGCTCCCCCTTATCTCCAGCGCACATCTTCTGAATCTGTGCGTGACACCAGCGCCGGCCCAGATGAAGCCTCCCACACTGCGATGGGCCGTTTGATATTAGCTCAGACAAATATCAAACATGAAGTTCGGCCGAGCTTCAGCTGTTTTTTATTCTTCAGGTCTGATAAAGATCGAGGCCGAGGAGACGGATGACAACCAGCGCTACGAGGCGGCGGACAAAGACGAGGCCGACGGCGGCAGCGAGGACGGGATGGAGGAGTCGTTCGAGGAGGAGCGGCCGGAGGACGAGGACGCCCTGAACGAGCCGCAGGACCTGTCGCTCGCYGACTACTCCCGCTACGACGGCGCCGAGCTGCGGGACGCGGCGGCGGAGGAGGCGGGGGAAGGGAGCTTCGCAGCCGGAGGCACGGCCCCCCGCCTGCAGACGTCGGGAAAGTTCAGCTGCGACATCTGCGGTCTGTCCTGCATCAGCATCAACGTGCTGCTGGTGCACAAGCGCAGCCACACGGGTGAGCATCAACCGTCATCACGCTTCCTACGTCTGTCTTTGTTGTTGGGTCAATACAGCAGAACACACAACGCTCTAATCAGCCTCACCGTGAAACGTTTTCTTTTGTAAAAACCAGCTCGATTAGATGATAAAGACTCAGAGCAACAGACAGAAAATAACCTCCAGACACATTAACATTAACTCAAACCTGATCATTAAAATCCATCAGCTCTCTTCTCTAACAGACTTTTGTTTTGAAATGATCTAAGCCCAAACCAAGTTTTGATCTCTAAACCTTAGCTCACCATCAGCGTGGCCTTACAGCACTCTTAATTAGACAGGCAGAAAGTAACGGCTCTGAGTGTTCCTGGAGGAGTTTCTGACTCAAAGGTGTGAGAAAACAGGTGAACTTTCAGTTATRCACCGAAATCTTAGAGTTTGTGACCAACAAGACAAGCTGCAGCGTTCAGAAGAAATGGCTTGATTATTCAGCGGATCAATTTATCAGCCGAAGGGTTTTATTCAGCTGATTTAAAAAAATATCATCATTTGGTCCAGGCTGTGCCTCAGGGCTGTTCAAGTAAATCACTCAGGGGGCCACAGTTACTGCAGGCCAACATTAATTAATTAACATTTATTTCACCAGGCATGTTAATTAATTAATTAATTAACATTTATTTCACCAGGCAAAACATTAAGAACAATTTCTTATTTACAATATTGACCTGAAAGTGTGAAAACACTTAAAAATTCAATTCAATTCAATTCAATTCAAAAATACTTTATTGATCCCAGAGGGAAATGAGGTGTTGTTGTAACTCATTGAACTAAAAACTTATTGTAGATGCTGATGGCTGTGGGCAGGAAAGATCTTCTGTAGCGTCTGTATTACAGCGAAGTTGAAGAAGCCTCCTACTGAAGACAC